CGTCGCGCTGTTTTGTGGCAGCAGAGGCCGCCACCGTGTTGTCTCGGCCCGTGACCAGCTTACGTCCGGTGTCCTGCAGACACCGCGCGGGTGGGGTGACGATGCCTCGCGTTACCAGGATCATAGGTGTCGGAACGAATCAGACGTGGGGAAGTCCCTGGAGCACCAACGCCGGCTCCCCTGCTGCGCGCGCGATGACGAGAGAAGTTGTCACTTGAGGTTTTCCCGGGACCGTCCTGTTAGCACCCAGTTCACGGCGGAAGCAGAAACTGTAGGTCAGGGACTTCGACTGATACCATTACCTCTCCCCCATAATCTATCAGCTCCCCCCTCCCCCTGAGTACCTGGCAGTAAAACTCTGACCGGAAAAGGAGAACGGAGGGAACTCAGGATTCCCGTCGTAGGAAGAAGAGAAAGCCAAGCAGGAGAGTGGGTGCCAGCAGCCATGAGAGGAGCCAACAGGCTAAGTCCCGGATCCCCCGTTCGGGGTCAGGAAAGGATGCTCAGACCGGAGTCAGGTCATGGATCGGGTCACTGCCCATGCCCTGGTGTGAGATTGGACAATGTCACCATTGGAAACTGGGTGAAGTGTAGGAGGGAGGAGGCCTCTGGAGCACTTCTTACAACCGCATGTTCCCCACACTTGTCTCAATAAAAGCGTCAGTTACAAGGAGAAGAAACGATCCTGGAGTTCAGCAGTAGAAATACTCCCAGGGGCCCAGAGCAATGACCTGTGGGGCCGTGAAGTCCTAAGGTGGAGTTCTGACTCCCTTATGTTATCCTAGAGCCGTGGTCGGCAAACTGCGGCTCTCGAGCCACATGCGGCTCTTTGGCCCCTTGAGGTGGCTCTTCCTAAGCCTTAGGAGTACCCTAATTAAGTTAATAACAATGTACCTACCTATATAGTTTAAGTTTAAAAAATTTGGCTCTCAAAAGAAATTTCAGTCGTTGTACTGTTGATATTTGGCTCTGTTGACTAATGAGTTTGCCGACCACTGTGAGGCCCGGTGGGCAAAATTCATGCAGGAGGCTTGGCCCTCCTGGCCCTGGCGACCCCCCTCGGCCACTGGTCGTTCTGAAAGATCATTCCACCATCTGGTCTAAAGACCATATTAGCTCTTTATTATATAGGATGCAAGGTCACTCTGTGGCCTTGAACATGTTACTTAAATTTTCTGAGCCTTTTCAACTCTTCTTCTGTCAAAATAAGATTTGTAATACCTACATCAGAGGTTTTAATTTTTATCTAATTGGATTATGATACTTATATACATAAAATACTAGGTTGAACTATTGCCACTGGCAGTTTTCATATGGTTTAATCCAGTAATAGCATGACACAGGTACACAACACACGGCAGCTCCTTTCCGTTGAGGGCAGCGATGAAGTCTTAACTTTCCCGTGACCACTAGTACCATCCCTTGCCTTGCTGTTTTTCTTTAGACCTGCAGGGTATGAATGTGGTCAGAGTCTATTAAAATTTTGGCTCAGTGGATAGAGCATTGGCCTGTGGACTGAAGGGTCCCGGGTTCGATTCTGGTCAAGTGTATATTATGCCTGGGTTGTGGGCTCCATCCCCAGTAGGGGGTGTGCAGGAGGCAGCCCATCAGTGATTCTCATCATTGATGTTTCTGTCTCTCTCTCTCCCTCTCCCGTCCTCTCTGAAATCAGTAAAAATACTTAAATTTTTTTTTAATTCAGAGTTTGAAGCAGAGAGTCCTACTATGTATGACTGCTATTTTCTGTTGATATTGTTGACATTCCTGATAGTAACTGTAATAAGAGAATGTGTCTTCCCTCTTACAGGCAATAGTTTGGGATGAGTACCTCACAGGACCATTTGGCCTGATTGCACAGTATTCACTACTGAAGGTAAATGAGCTATTCTGGCTTTGTTGAGGGATTAATAATTATGCGTTTTTGAAATAATAATGGAATTTCACATTTTCTCCTGAACAATTAGCTTA